AGTTCCCTCCAGGAGGGTGCTGCAGCCCTGAGTTCTCTGAGTCCCAGTCCGTTCCCTGTGCCCAGTGACTTCACCATTCACTTTGTTTCAGGGGAGATGCAGTGAGGAAGAGATGAACAAAAACAACTACAGTCTTCTTAGGATTTGCCTGGGTCCCAGCCAGAGCAGATGGAATCAGAGACTCCTTCCTGAGAAGTGAAAATTTCAACACAATCTGTAAGAACAGCCAGCAAGCATGCCTTAGAGCTAATCCATGAGATGCTGCCCTGCCCTTTTATGCTGTCTGCTGCCCCTGGGTGTACACAGTCTCCAGTGTGTCCTTTGGGATTCACTCAAAATGCACACTCAAACCTGAATTTAGAGCCCAGACCCACCCCTGGGCAGCCATTTGAAGGTCCCTGTTTCCCAACGCATCTGACTTCAAAATCACCTCAATCTGTTTCTAAGAATGCCTAAAAATAATTCATTTTATTCACTCAGCATTTCGAGTACCTACTGTGTGGGCACTGTGTAGCTGTAATTATGTATTGAGTCCTGTAGTAGATATCAGCTCTGTGAAGGAGGGGCCCATGTAATGATTCACCATAGAATTCTCAATACCTAGCTCAAGGCCTGGCCCAAAGGTGTGCATCAGGGAAGGACTGGGAATCAAGAGGGAGATGTCCCTGTGAAAACAATTTGAATATTCTACATTATACAATGTAATAATAGGATTAAGTGTCTTGAATATGTGTTCTTTTAAGTTAATAATATTGCATTCTCCCAAAGATCCCAGTTGGGACAATGAGAAAACCCTCATCCATTTAAAACATCAACTCATGCAGGATTTTCTAACTCACTTTCAACTCAAGTGACTAGCCCACAAATTAGTCACTCTTCTTGCCTCTGATCACAAAACTAAGTAAAACATAGACCCTACCTCCAAAGAACTGAGCAACATGAGCAATCATTTGGAGGGACTTGGTGTAAGAACTTTCTAAGCATGTTATAATACCACACCTCATCTATGCTCACACATTCCTATGGAGCAGGCACCACTGTTGACTTCACATTATGAATGAAAAATCTAAAAAATAAGAGGTTAGTTAGCTTCTTCAATGCCACAGAGGGAGTACATGGTTTAAAATCTAGAACAGGGGATGCCTGGGTGGCTCAGCGGTTAAGCGCCGCCTTCAGCCCAAGGCGTGATCCTGGAGTCCTGGGATCGAGTTCCGCATCGGGCTCCCTGCGTGGAGCCTGCTTCCCCTTCTGCCTGTGTCTCTCCTCTCTTTCTATGTGTCTCTCATGAATAAATAAGTAAAATCTTGTTAAAAAATAAAATCTAGGGATCCCTGGGTGGCGCAGCGGTTTGGCGCCTGCCTTTGGCCCAGGGCGCAATCCTGGAGACCCGGGGTCGAATCCCACGTCAGGCTCCCAGCATGGAGCCTGCTTCTCCCTCTGCCTGTGTCTCTGCCTCTCTCTCTCTCTCTCTCTCTCTCTCTCTCTCTCTCTCTGTGTGTGTGTGTGACTGTCATAAATAAATAAATAAAAATTTAAAAAAAATAAAATAAAATAAAATCTAGAACAGCTTCAGGGCACCTGGATGCTCGGTCCATTAAGTGTCTGCCTTCAGCTCAGGTAATGATCCCAGGGTCCTGGGATCCAGCCCTGCATTGGGCTCCCTGCTGAGCAATGAGCCTGCTTCTCCCTCTCCCTCTCCCTCTGCCTTCTCACTCCCTGCTGTGCTCTCTCTTTCTTTCTCTCTCTCTCTCTCTCTCTGTCAAATGAATAAATTAAAGCTTTTTTAAAAAAATAAATAAATAGGGTAGCCCAGGTGGCTCGGTGGTTTAGCACCGCCTTCAGCTCAGGGTGTGATCCTGGAAACCCAGGATCGAGTCCCACGTCAGGCTCCCTGCATGGAGCCTGCTTCTCCCTCTGCCTGTCTCTGCCTCTATCCCTCTCTGTGTCTCTCTTGAATAAATAAATACAATATAAATAAATAAAAAAATAAATAAATAAATAAATAAATAAAATCTAGAACAGCTTCTCTCACCAATGAAACTCGCCATTAGACAAACTCTCACTTTCTTCTATGGATTAAAGTATCCACCCTTCCATTCATTCAATAAGTATTTAGTGAATTTTAATTGTGCAAGATACTGTTTTAGAGGCTGAAGATACAGCAATGAACAAAACAGACAAAAGCCTGGTCTTGAGGAGCTTACATTCTAGTGAGGTAAAGAGGAGCCTGGGAGACAGAAAAGAAATCAAAGGTGGAAGCAATAGAGCATGTACAATGGAGATGAGGACTACAGAGAAAAATAAGCGAAGGGAGATAAGGCGTTACAGGAAAACGAGGTTGACATTTTTAGTGGAAGTCATCACCAAGAAGGTGGTATTTGAGCAGAATCCTGAGGGGCTGAGGGAGCAGGCCAGGTGGCCAGCAGGGAGGTGGCATTCCAGGTAGAGAAAACTGGGTGCAAATCATGGAGTGCAGTGCTCTCCGGGAGCAGCAGGTCAGAGATGCTGAACTCAGGACATGAAAGAAAGGATAGAGGAAGGGGAGGAGGGTTCAGGGAGGCCAGATCACATAGACCACTGTGAAATGTGTGGCTTTTACGCAACATGCAGAAGCCTTTTGAAAAGGCTCTGCAAAGCTCTAGAGTGATAGGAGCTTCTTACAAATACATTATGTATATTAAATTCTTCGGTAAGCCAAGTTTAAAAAAAAAAGATTTCACTGCTGTCATATGCCCTGATGGGATGCCCTGAAATAGATGCAGCATCCCAAAAAGCATAGCCCAGCTCACACGAGGAAACCTTACACAAACCCAGATTCAAAAGCCTTCCACAGAACAACTGACTTGTACTCCAAAAAAATGTCAAAGTCATAAAAGATAAAGAAAGGCTGGGAAGTAGTTTTAAAAAACATAATAACAACAAAAAGGATGGCTGGCTGGGTCAGTCAGTAGAGCATGTGACTCTTGATTTTGGGGTTGTGAGTTCAAGCTCCACGGTGGATGTGAAAGCCTACTTTAAAAAAAATTTTTTTTCTAATAGGAAAATAAAAGACATAACAAAAAAAGGCATAACAACTGAAAGTAATACATGATCCTGATCGGATTCTGCACTGGGGAGGGAGTGCCATAGAGCACATTACTGGGACAATCGGTAATATTTAAATACGGACCGTGTATTTAATCGTATCAATGTTATTTTTTTAAGATTTTATTTATTTATTTGACAGAGAGAGAGCACACGTAGAGGGAGTGGCAGATAGAGAGAGAGGAGAAGCAGGCTCCCCCCAGAGCAGGGAGCCTGATGCAGAACTCGAACCCAGGACCCTGGGATCATGACCTGAGCCGAAGGCAGATGTTTAACCAACTGAACCACCCAGGTGCCCTAATTGTATCAATGTTAAATTTACTAAATTTGATAATTGTGCTGATACGATATTTTATTATATGGGAAAGCCATGTTCTTAGAAGATTCAGGCTTTAAAATTTAAGAGTAAAGGGACACGATGTCCACAACTCACTCTCAAATGGTTCGGCAAAAATTAATATTATTATACTTTTTTTCTATGTTTTTTAATTTAAATTTTGTTAGTTAACATACTTCTTATACATTTATACTCACACACCTATATGAGGACAAAGAGAAATAAAGCAAATGTGATAAAATGTTAACAACTGATGAATCCAGGCAAAGAAAATATAAGAATTCTTTTGTGCTATACTTGCAACTTCTCTGGAACTCTGAAATTATTATTTTAAACTTTTTATTTTAAAAATTTAGGGTTAAAAAATTAAAAAATAAAAATAAAAATTTAGGGTTGCCTGGATGGCTCAGTTGGTTAAGCATCTGACTCCTAGCTCAGTTCTTAATCTTAGAGTCACAAATTCAAGCCCCATGTTGGGCTCCTTGCTGCATGTGGAGCCTACTATAAATCAATCAATCAATGTTTAAAAATTAAGAGCACCTGGGTGGCTCAGTGGTTGAGCGTCTGCCTTCAACTCAGGTCATGATCATGGGGTCCTGAGATCGAGTCCCACACCAGGCTCCCCATAGGGAGCCTGCTCCTCCCTCTGCATGTCTCTGCCTCTCTGTCTGTGTCTCTCATGAGTAAATAAATAAGATATTTTTTTTTAAATGCTTTTGTTACAAATGCCGGTCCCCTCAGTGCTCTGGAGCCTAGATTGTCTTGGAGGACACAGGACAGCCCACGGTGGGTCTACCTTGGGTTTGTACCGGGCCCTGGACACACCCCACCCTGTGCCCCCCTTTCCTCCCCTTGCACCGAGGGTGCCCTCCACTCACCCCTCGCCGCCGACCTAGAGTGCAGCCTCCCATCTCAGAGCCCCCTCGACACCGGGCTGGAGGAAGGGGGAGCAGCCCCCAGCTGAGCTCGTCCCTGCGGAGTTTTCCATGTGCTCTGGAGCTTCCTGCCATTGTCTCCCTATTCCCCCTTCTCCGCCTCCTGCTCCAAGGCAGCATTTCCCTAATAATTTTCAGGTTCGCGTAGCCTCTGGGCTCCTGGAGGCCGCTGATGGAGGAGAGACGGGGCTATGCGGGCAGTCGGCATCACCCTCGCCTCGTCCTCGCTGTCTCCCTGCCTCAGCGACCATCTGTCAATCTCCGATTCCAGAACCACCAACTTCCTTAGAGAAACCCGAGCCCAGGGGCCACTTCTCTCTGCTGGTCATGGTACCAAGTTGAGGCTGTTTCCTTCATCCTTCCTACAGCCAGCAGAGGGGCCGGCATCTCCCCAGCACCCACAGGGCCCCCGGAGCCGGTGGAAAGCAGTGCCCGGGCCCCAGCTGCCCGGGTGGCAGACGCTCAGCCAGACGCCCTCGGGGGGCCTCCAACCCGCCGTCTGACCTGGCCCCCCCGAGCCGTCGAGGCCCCAGCGGCCCAGTGCCAGCCCACCAGTAAGCAGCCCAATCCAGGGGCTCCGGCTTCTGATCTCCATGGCCCAAGTCCTTGCCACCCCCACCCCATGCCGGGCCAGGGCCCCTTACCTTGGCCCCGATGCCCCTGGAGGAGCAGGAGGAGGGTGAGGGCGAGAGCCTGCCCCAACATCCCCAGAGGACCGGGCCACTCCTCTCCCGCCAGACGCGCTGCAGGTGCACAGGCTTAGCAGCTGCCAGCCAGGGCGACAGGGAGCAGAACTGCCTCGCTCTTTGTCCGGCCACAATTTCCTCAACTCAAGGCTGTTCTCAACGGCTGAGAGCGAACAAGACCACGGAGAAAGCCCCAGTACCTGGACCTGGTCCTACAGCTCGCTCGAGCTCAGGGCTCAAACTGGGCCTCAAGTGGGCGGGTGCTGAGTTCACAGTGACTCACAAAACCAGCTTTGAAATCCTGTCCATTGCTCGCTGCCTGGTTCAAGGGACAGACGACCAAGAAATGCCCCAGGTCTCCCCATCCTACTGGCAACACGGAGAAGGCTGCCAATGGGCAGGGGGGCCAAACAGCCCTTATCCCAGACTATCCCATTCCAGCGAGCACCGTGAAGGTGGGAGGAGGGGGTTGGGGACGTGTGGGCTGAGAAGTGGAGCCCTGAACAAGTGGGTGAAGTGTCAAAGCAGCGGGGGACACCAGAAAGATCTAAGACTGGGGGATGCTCAGCAAGTTGATAGCTAGGTTTAACCACATGCAAACTGAAATATCTTTATACAGATTTGCTTTGGCTCCTTTCCTATCTGTGCTTCTATATCCCCTCCTCTCCTCTTTTTCTACTTTTCCATAATAGTTCTCTCTTCCTTCCCTTGCCTTGTCTCACCGAGACAGCAACCAAGCTCATCTTCACTGTCCTCCCCAGCGCACCCTTCAATTCTACCCTCCACGAAGACCAGGCCGCTGTGATCCTTCTTATGCCCCCATGGATGGGAGAGGCCATGGCATCCCACCTTCCCCAGAAAGCGTTTGCTTTGAGGCTATACCTCGGGGCCCCACAACTTTTTTTTTTCTTCTGCTTTTCCCTTGGCAGCAAATACTTTCAGTTCCCTCAGGTCAGCCCTTCTTCTCTATTTCCATCCTTTGATCCATTTCCTATCACTCCGTCTGAAGCTGGACTCAGGAGGGGCAGGCTTGAGCCTCAGGTACCATGAAGGAAGCAGGGTGCTCTGGACAGAGCACAGATTTGGAGCCTTGAGTGACAGTTCAGCAGTTTAACAACTTGTGCGGGGACACCTGGGTGGCTCAGGGGTAGATCATCTGCCTTCAGCCCAGAGCATGATCCTGGAATCCCGGAATCGAGCCCCACGTCGGGCTCCCCACAGGGAGCCTGCTTCTCCCTCTGCCTGTGTCTCTGCCTCTCTCTCTGTGTGTCTCTCAAGAATAAATAAATAAATAAATAAATAAATAAATAAATAAATAAATAAATAAATCTTTTTTTTAATTAAATTAAATTAAAAATAATAAAAATTAAAAACAAATTTTAAGAACAACCTGTGTGATCCTGGCCAAGTGACCTTCTGACCTGTGAAATCAGTCCTTGGCTCGTGTTCCTCACAAGGTAGTTTTCAGGATCAAATCAATAACTATAGCTAAGAGTATGCATGAAAAAAACTCTGAACATAGGTAAGTTCCATTTTTTTCTTTTTTTTTTTTAAGATGTATTTATTTATTGAGAGAGAGAGAGATAGAGAGCAAATGGGGATAGGGACCGAAGGAGAGAGAGAGAGAGAATCTCCAGCAGACTCCCTGCTGAGTAGGGAGCCCAGCTCTCATGACCCTGAGAACATGACCTGAGCCAAAATCAAGAGTCTAATGCTTGGCCAACTGGGCCACCCAGGACCCCTCGTTTTCTTTTTCTTTTTTATTTTTCATTTTATTTTTTCTTAATGTAGCCCTACATGGCTTTTTTCCGCTGGATCAATGGTTATCAGCTCTGCTCTTCTTTGTCTCCCTCCCAAGGGGCAGCCCTCACCCTACAGAGCTTCCTCAGAGACAATCTGGCCATGCCCTTGATCTTGAGAAGTAGTGCTCAAGACATGATGCAACAAGGAAGGGTAAATTTCCTGCCATGAAAGTTGGAGGACAAAGTCCAGCTGTTCAAAGCAACTAACCAACAACATTTACGAATCAGCTTCACTGAGCCTGACCCCAACACCAGCTCCATCCTTTCTCCACCAGTTGCATGGATGACCTACCATCCCCTGGAAACTGAATTGGGAGCACACATAGTGTTATGTCTTGTGGTCTTGTTAGCTAGAATGCAACGGGAAGTTACTCAAATAAGACAGCTGAATGCTATCTACAAAAGGGAGGAGGGGAAGGGACAAAATCAGGAAAGGACTGTGTTTTATTTTGCAGAACCAACGGTTCTAGCCAAAGAGATGCCCAACTAGTTGTTTCATCTGATAGCGCTTGCTGGGTGTGTCTCGCCTGATAGCCCCTTAGGTGAGTCAGTGTGAGCTGGACTGGAGCTGAGGACCTTTGCAGAAGTGCCCCTGAGTTGTCCTGAAATTACCTTTAGCTCATTATAATACTAAGATCTCCTCCTACAGGTAGTTTTCTGACACTTTTTGGACATACAATGTATATGCACTAGAATGTTGACATTCTAGGCATGTGCAACGGAACTGAAGCTCCTATGTAAGCTCCCCGCTCCCGTCTCCTAATACACTCCTGCACTAAACCCACGGGAGGCAGCACTTTGTGAGCTATCTCCCTTCCTCCTTACCTATAACTAGTAATGAAAAGTTCTTTGCTGGGGCCCCTGGGTGGCTCAGTCCGTTACGTGTCTGCCTTTGGCTCCGGTCATGATCTCAGGGTCCTGCGATGGAGCCCCGCATCAAGCTCTCTGCTTGTTGGGCAGCCTGCTTCTCTCTCTCCACTGCTTATGCTCTCTCTCTCTCTCTCTTTCTCAAATAAATAAGTGAAATCTTTAAAAAGAGAAAAGGTCTTTACTTTCAACATTTCCTTGTATTGTCTTTAATTTCATGCACCCTAAGCAGCAAACCTCTTGACTTCAGTTAGTCTCTAACATACTCGACCACATGATAACTGCTATTTGTCTACACACTACCCTGCCTGGCCCTGAGCACTTCATCATGAAGTCTGTGCTCTCTCTAGTTAGTGTTTCCAGAGTCTGGCCTTGTATCTGCTTCTTAATAGTTGGTTACAGAGTGTTGAGTGCCAAAAGAATGAATGACTTCCCTCAAGAAAGCATTCTGTTCCTCCTGAGAAATACTGTGAGCTAAGCCATGATAGTCCTGCCTACGTGGAGTTTATATCTTGCCTTGCAGGGTCCTTATAGAGAGGGCGCTTCTGTGCAATTCAGCCACTTTTGCATGAACACCCAAGACCCTACAAAATCCACATAAACTCAGAAACTCCCATAGCTCCACTTCCCATGCATATTCTCTAGGTTTCTGTAAGTTTGGGACATTGAAAAGTCAGGGGCCATGCCAGGATTTAAAGGTTCATCATACCTCACCCTTTCATCCTTCCTTTTCTCAAACCATACTTACATCATATTTCATTGAGTCAATGTTATTCTAGTACAGCCCAACTGCAAAGTTCCCAAGTCCCCAAGACCACCCATTTGTAAGACTAGTTATAAGTTTGGAGTCCCTATGACTACCTTCAGTTCTGATAATTCACTAGAAGGCACTTTAATAATAATTAGTAACATGCGAAATACTCATGCCCTTTGACCCAGCAATACCCCCCCTCTTTGAATTTATCCAACAGAAATACTCTAACACTCCAAAAATACTTTCACAAATGCCCAAAGATAGATAAGGTTCTTCCTTACACCACTGTTAAGTAAGAAACTGGAAATAGCCAAAATGTTCACCAGGAGGTAATAGTTGGGAAAAAAAAAAAAAGGTGTATGAATTCTATACTATAGTATATTAAGAAGCCTTTAAAAGAGTAAAATGTGGTACCTGGGTGGCTCAGTCAGTTAGGTGTCCAACTCTTGATTTCAGCTTGGGTCATGATCTCAGGGTCATGAGATCAAGGCTCATGTCAGGCTCCATGCTCAGCAAGGAGTCTACTGGAGATTCTCTCCCTCTATCCCTCCCCCCCATCACTTGTGCTCTCTCACTCTCTCCTAAATAAATAAATAATAAATAAATAAATAAATAAATAAATAAATATTTCTCTTTTAAAAAATAAAATAAAAAGAGTAAGACATATATATGAATATATATGTGTACATATATATGATGTTCACATTTAAAAGCACTCTGAGACATTCACAAAACAATCTGCATAATATAATTCTGTTTAGGCAGACGAACTAAGTGTGTGCATTTAGGTTCTCTGAACAGTTGTAAATCCAGAGAAATGTACCTGAGGGAAAATAATCCTGACAGTAACCTTTATTTAAAAAAAAAGATTTTATTTATTTATTCATGAGAGACACACAGAGAGAGGCAGAGACACAGGCAGAGGGAGAAGCAGGATCCCTGTGGGGAGCCTGACATGGGACTCGATCCTGGGACTCCAGGATCATGCCCTGGGCTGAAGGCGGCACTAAACCACTGAGCCACCCGGGGATCCCAACTGCAACTGTTTTTAGAAATAATAACCCCTTTTTATTTTTTAATAATAATTTTTTTATTTTAAGATTCCATTAAATTTTAAAATATCCCTACCTGTTGACACAGTATTATCCAGTGTTCCCAGTCCAGGGCTCATCTCACTACACAGTCTGCTTTTTCTGGTTCTTTAGAAAAAGTGAAATATGCTAATCCACTCAGGACATTGATCTTTGCTTGGCCTGTCAGAGTTTTGGAGTCCCACATTCCCCACTTTCCCTGAGGCAGCTGGCCTCCCAGCTGTTACTCTTAGAACTCTGAAGGATGTAAGTAGTGGTGCGGTCTCGATCACCAAAAGTATTACAGTCGCTACCTGTGGGGTGCAGCGGTAGAGGAGGATGAGGCCAAGGAAGAGTATAAAAGTTCGAGGGCTGCGGTGTAAGAAAAAAAAAAATGAGCCCAGGGCACCTGAGTGGCTCAGGCAACGAAATGTCTGCCTTTGGTTCAGGTGGTGATCTCAGAGTCTCGGGGATCGAGCCCCGCGTTGGTCTCCACACTCAGTGGGGAGTCTGCTTCTCCCTCTGCCTCTGTGATTTCTCTTGTTCTCACTCTCTCTCAAATAAATAAATAAAATCTTTTTAAAAATAGATAGGTCAATGAATAGATAGATAAATAGGCTTGAGCCTGCTGGAATGGAAACCAGAGAGAAAGGAATATGTCAGCTAAAAGGTGGTAAGGAGGGATCCCTGGGTGGCGCAGCGGTTTGGCGCCTGTCTTTGGCCCAGGGCC